GGACGACCTGGAGACAGCACGTGAGGCGCGGGCCCAATAAGGAGGGGGTTCCCGCCTGAGACTTCTTTGAATTTCACTCACAGTCGGAGCTCCCGCCTGAGGCTTCTTCCAAATTCAACCCTGAGGAGCCCAAACGCGACGACTGCTGCAGGAGACGAATGGCAGTTACAAGTGTCCGATGACCCGCTCGGATTAAGTACATTATCTGCCGGGTCCATAGGGAAAGGGCTCCGGCCTGAGACGTCCTCTCAATTCACTCGCACACGAGGCTCCCGCCTCCATCCCCGTGAAAAACTATAACAAAAGTGGCACAGGGATGGAAGCCGAAAGGATGTTGAATGCGACCAGGCTGGGCCCGTCGCATCAAGTGACATCCGCCGGTCAATGTTACAGAAAAACGTATCGTCTGCATTGCGCGTCGCACGTTAGCCATCCGACGGGCGGGAGCGAAACCGCAAGGCAGAACGTGGAACCGCCCACGCCAGCGGCCCTGCGAAGGATGAACTTGGAAGAGCACCCGGGCAATAAGTAGCGTCCGCCTCCCAATGTTGCGATTGGGCGCGCAAGCCAAAGTGTGGCAGATCAATGACCTGGCCCATGGTGTACACCTGCGCGCGCGGCCAACATTGGAAGACGAATGTCTTTCAATGATCGTTTTTGGGCGATGCCGTCTGCATGTCATTCACGATGATCATCTTGTTGATGTTGTTACAAGGTGTTCCCCCGCTGTGTACACTTCATCCATATTCAAGCCTGGGGAGCCTAAAAGTGACGACGGTTACAAGAGGCCGATGACCCGCCTCGGATTCAAACATTAAGCGCGGACCCCATAGGGCGGGGGCTCCCACCTGAGACTTCCTCGCAAATCACTCACAGACGAGGCTCCCGCCTGATACTTGCTCCATATTCAAGCCTCAGGAATCCAAAAGTGACGACGGTTACAGGTTTCCGACGACACGCTCGGATTACTCATATGAGCTGCGAACCCCATACGGAGGGAACTCCCGCCTGAGACTTGCTCTCAATTCACTCATAGACGAGGCTCCCGCCTAAGACTTACTCCATAGTCAAGCCCATGGAGGCAGATGACCCGCTCGGATTACTCATATGACCTGCGGGCCCATAGGGAGGGGGCTCCCGCCTGAGTCTTCCTCGGGATTCGCTCACAGTCGAAGCTCCCGCCGGACACTTCTCCCAGATTCAAGCCTCGGGAATCCAACACTGACGACAGTTGGGCCGATGACCCGCTCGGAGTACCAACATGAAATGTGGGCCACACAGGGAGGGGGCTCCCGCCTGAGACTTCCTCGCAATTCTTTCACCGACGAGGCTACCGCCTGAGACTGCCTCCAAATTCAAGCCTGAGGAGCCCAAAGGTGGCGACTGATGCAGGAAGCCGATGATCCGCTCGGATTACCTACATGAAATGCAGGTCCAAAAGAGTGGGGGCTCCCGCCTGAGACTTCCTCGCATTTCACTCACAGACGAAGCTCCCGCCTGAGCCTTCTTCCAAATTCAACCCTGAGAAGCCCAAAAATGACGACAATTGCAAGGGCCCATGACCCGCTCGGAAAAACAACATGAAGTGCGAGCCTCAGAAGGAAAGGGTTCCAGCCTGAGACTTCCTCGCAATTCACACAGACGAGGCTCCCGACTCCCGCCTGAGACTTCCGCCAAAGTCAAGCCCGAGGAGCCTCAAAGTGACGACAGTTGCAATAGGCCGATGACCCGCTCGGATTGCCAATATGAAATGCGGGTTCCATCGGGAAGGGATCCCGCCTGAGACTTCCTCGCAATTCACTCACAGACGAGGCTCCCGCCTCATACTTCCTCCATAGTCAAGCCCCTGGAGCCTAAAAAGGCGACAGCTACAGGTTTCCGATGACCCGCTCGGATTAGTAACATGAGCTGTGGGCCCCATAAGGAGGAGGCTCCCGCCTGAGATTTCCTCGCAATTCACTCACAGAAGAAGCTCCCGCCGGATACTTCTCCCATATTCAGGCCTCGGAAACCCAAACGTGACGACAGGTATAGGTTTCCGATGACCCTCTCGGATTAGTAGCATGATCTGCGGGCCCCATATGGAGGGGGCTCCCGCCTGAGACTTCCTCGCAATTCACTCACAAACGAAGCTCCCGCCTGAGATGAGTGGGTCAGTGAATGAGTGTGTGAGTGAGTGAGTGAGTGAGTGAGTGAGTGAGTGAGTGAGTGAGTGAGTGGGTGAGTGAGTGAGTGAGTGAGTGAGTGAGTGAGTGAGTGATGATGATGATGATGGTGATGATGATAATGGTAATGATGATAATGATGATAATGATGATAATGATGATAATGATGATGATGACGATGGTTATGATGATGCTGATGTTGATGCTGATGATGACGATAATGATGATGATGATGATGATGATGATGATGATGATGATGATGATGATGATGATGATGATGATGATGATGATGATGATGATGAGTGTGAGTGAGTGAGTGAGTGAGTGAGTGAGTGAATGAGTGAGTGAGTGAGTGAGTGAGTTAGTGGGCGGGTAGGTGGGTGGGTGTGTGGATGAGTGCGCGAGTGAATGAGTGAGTGAGTGAGTGAGTGAGTGAGTGAGTGAGTGAGTGAGTGATGATGATGATGACGATGATGATGACGATGATGATGATGATGATGATGATGATGATGATGATGATGATGATGATGATGATGATGATGAGCGTGTGTGTATGAATGTGTGAGTGGGTGGGTGAGTGAGTGTGCGTGCGTGTGTGTGAATGGGTGAATGAGTGGGTGAGTGAGTGAGTGTGAGTGATGATGTGTGTGAGTGATTGAGTGAATGAGTGTGCGATCAGAGAAAAGGAGAGGGTGTGTTCTGTTGTTCCTGCGCAGGGTGTTTAGAGAAAACCAACTACCCATTTTGGATGTGGGGAATGATGAGACCCAATCCGAAATTTGACGCGAGCTCCCGCTGCAAACATCCCACTAAAACTGGACCGTGAAGATCCAGGACGCGCAAGTCAAAAGCCTCGGAAACCCGAGTTCTGGCGCACTCGAGGCTTACGTTTCCCCGATCCTGGACCATGGGGAAAGGATAATCTTCACGGGGCGACGCGATCACGCTGCCGTCGCTGGCGTAGAAATTCGCGAAGCTGCTCCCGAACGCACACGCCATGCCGTCGGGACAGGGCAGACACGGTCCGGACGAGCCCACCCCCTCCGCCAGGTAGGTACCCTCGCGACACCCGCAGGTCTCCATGGCCAAGGCCGCCATCACCACAGTGGTCATGCCTGCGGGGCCCAAAAATATACACCACCACCACCACCCTCACCCCCTCCTTCTCCCAGGATAGAGGAAAGGAAGTGGAGGGTAGAGGAGAGAGGAGGAATCGACGTGGTGGTGGTGTATATCCTTTGGGTCCCCATTGCCTGCGGGGCACAGCTCGCAGGTGTAATTGCCGCCCGGGGTCATGTAGGTCCCCAACGGGCACGGCTCGCAAGAAGACTGCCCCGCGAGATCCGTGAACCGGCCAGCGCTGCAGGCGGTGCAGCTATCCTGCCCCGGCAGCGGCTGGTGCTCGTGACTGGAGCACGGGGTGCAGTTGTGCGAACCATGCTGCGCAGCGGCGGTGCCCTGGGGACACGACTGGCACATGGACTGGCCCGTCTCCTGGGTGAAGAAGCCAGGAGGGCAAGGATCGCAAGGAGTGGGGCCGTCATTGTTTTTCGCCGTGCCTGCCGTACAAAGTTCGCACCCGTAGTCGACCTTGTCGCGTCCGAACTGGTTGGTGTATGACCACGAGATCAGGTCCGCCTCCTGGTTTCCTCCAGTCGCCACGCCGACATTTATGCGAACCATCATAGCTGCATGTTGTTCCCTGTTTAGAGTCACGTACCCTGTACTCGCAACGAAATCCTGTCCAGAGTCAGTGAAGCCAAACATCATGTCCGCCACCGTGCCTCTGGGCATGGAGTGGGCGTGTCCTCAGGTCATGATCTTAATTCACTAAGCCTCGATCCTCGCTCCTGAGGAGTCTTTCTGGGGCCCAAGGCCCAGATTGCCAAATCTCCTGGGGTTTGCCGCGGCTTCTCCGCATCTCCTAACGCAACTTTTTGGGGCCCAAGAGAGCCCCAAGATGGGCCAAGAGGGCCCCAACAGGCCCCCAAAACAGTCCGAGAGGGCCCCGAGACGCCCAAAGATCGTTCCAAGACGCCCGAGATGGTCCCAAGACGGTCCAAAAGGCCTCCGAGACGACCCGGAATAGCCCCAAGAACCTTCCCAAAAGAACCGCGAAAGTCCAAAATCATTAATTTTAAAATGGCGCCCAATGATTTTTAGGTCCTCGACGTTTCGAGAGTTCCCGACGCACCAAGACGGCCCAAGAAGCCCCCAAGGCCGCCCCAAGACGGCCCAAGAAGCCCCCAGGAGGGCCCCAACACGGCCCAATTGGGTTCCCAAACGGCTCCAAAGGCGCCCAATACGACCCAAGAGGCCCAAAAACAATTCCAAAAAAGGCCCGAAAGGGTGAACACGGACCGAAGATCCAAGTCTTCCGCCCCACAAAGCCCCGGGGAGGCCCCAAGAAGATCCCAACACGCCGCTAAGAGGCCCCAAGAGACCCTCAAGAGGCCCTAAAAATGCAAGCCACAAAACGACCCCCAAGTGGCCCCAAAACAGCCGACAGGGGACCCAAAGGACCCCCGGGAGGGCCCCCGGGACATCACAACGAACACCCTAAACGCCTACGGCTCTCAACCCAGGCAGGGTGGCGGGATGGGTCAAAGGCTATGAGATAGTCCCCAGAGATGTTCCACGCCTTGTTATACACATTCGTATACAAATTGCGCGTGAAAACTGTGTAGGAGCCGTCGACGATGCTACTGGCGTCAGGTGCGATTGTGGCCAGCTGGGTCTCTGCCACCCCGAGTTCCGTGTCCCTCGCGATGGCAACGGCAACGACCTTGTCCACGAACTGGGCGTAATAGGCGTACCCGAAATACGAGATGCCCCCTCCCACCCCCAATGTCTGTCCGTTTTGTGCGCAAGCATATTGGTATATGTGCGTGATTCGCTCGGATGCTTATATTGATCTGTATGGGTGCATACATGTTTACATGTGTATATGTATGTACAAGTGTTCTACTACTCACATACATACATGCATACATGCATACACATATGTATATATATATATATATACAAGCATGCATACACACATACCGATCTACACACAATAAAAGCATTCGCGCGCGCCGCGCGCGCTATAATCCTAGGTAGCTCCAAGCGGTGGGAAGAAAGAAGTTGGTCATAGCTGATGTCTCCCCTTCCTACCCGACTGTTTACTTTACTCAACATGTCGCGGATAGCGTCTCCCAACTTGCTTATCATTGCCTTCTCCGGCACTGTTGTTTTGAGCCTTCGTCCACATTGTTGTCTCCTTGTATCGCATTAGTCCCTCTCCCTCGTGGCCCGTCGTTCCTGCCTCACCCGTGCCTGTGGTCTATCCGTCACCCTTTCAATTTCGTGCTTGCATGGGCGTGCGCAGGCACAGCACTTGTCCGCTCCTATTCGACCATGTTTCAATGTCCTTCTTACCACCGCCCCTTCCTCCCGGCGACGGTTTGGGGCCCGAGACTTGTTCGCCAGGGCTGCATCGACGGCCCATGGAGGCCTCCAAACCAATCTTACAAACCAACAGTACATACCCAAGAGCAACCCGAGAGAGTCCCAAAGCGGCCTCGAGAGGTTCCCAGCGCGGCCCCGAAGGGCCAGACAGCGCAAGAACGCTCCAAAACTGCCAGCGCTGCCCCCAGATGCCTGACCTTAGTGGGCCCTGGAAACGACAGGGCCGTTTTTGTTACCGGTTTCGTTTTGCAATTTTCTTGCCGGTTCCGACGCCGTTTTTTTACCGGTTCCGTCGCCGTTTTTTTACTGGTTCCGGCTGCGGTTCCAATCCTGGAGCCGTTTTTTGGCCGTTTCCAGTCGCCGTTTTTTTGCTGTTTCCACTTTCAAGGGACATTTTTTTGGAAACGGTGAGAAAACGACCCTGCCGTTTCCAGGGCCCACAAAGTGCCTGACGACAGAAAACCAAGAGATCTCCAGAGACCTCCGAGAAGGCGCCCCTGGGAGTCCACACGTGGACACGCGTCCTAAGATGGCCCAGAGAGCGCGTCCAACATAATGTAAAATGCACAGTATTACCAGCCTCGAACGTATCCCTATCCCTCAGATTGACACGCCAAAAGGCGATGACAATCTGAGGGATCCGCCCTCCAAAAATAAGGGAACCCCTAAGATTGGCATCTTGATGAGGAGGTGAACAGCATAGGGATAAGGATCTGTTCCAGGCTGGTAGCAATAGAGGTCAAGAGCAGCCCAAGGCCCGAAACGTGTGTCCAGCACGGCCCCCGAAGGGCCGGACAGCGCAAGAGCGCCCCCAGACGGCCAGAACTGCCCCGAGAGGTCAAGAGAAAAAAGCCGGCGAGATCCCCGGAGGCCCCCGAAAAGGCAGCTGCGGCGCGCAGCGCCCAGGCGACGGCGGACGCAGGAGACGCGCGAGGGAGGGCACCCTGCCATCGCTCGGACGTCCATTTCCCGTGCATGCTTCGGTTGCGTGCGTGTTTTTTTGGCGCTATGGTCCAGGATGGTCCTCGATGGTTCTCGCCGAGGAAAAAATGCACACGTCCGAGCGATGCCAGGGCAAGGAAGAAGCAGGCTCCAAGGCGCAGGCTGGCACAGAGAGGGAAGGGTGGAAGCAGAGCGGAGAAAGCAGCCAAGAGAGGAGGACGGAGAGAAGTGAAGTGGAAGGGAGGAGAGGAGTAGAAGTAAAGTGGAAGGGAAGAGAGGAGACCAAGAGAACGGGGAGGTGGAGGACCAGGGTCGGCAACGCATCAACTGCTGGAGAGCAGGAAAGGAGCAGGCTAGAAGCTGCAGGTTCGCAAGGGGAGGGATGGGTGGAAGGAAGACAGAAGAACGCACCAGCCAGAACGGAGGGCGGAGATGACGGGAAGGTGGAGGACCAGGATCGATAACGAAGGAAATATGGGAGAGCAGGGAACAAGCAAGCTAAAAGGTGCAGATTGGCAAGGGGAGGGATGGGTGGAAGAAAAGCGGAAGAACGAACCAGCCAGAACCGAGGACAGCGATAACGTGAAGATGGAGGACCAGGATCGATAACGCAGGAACTACGGGGAGCGGACGAAGATAGGTAGGAGTCATGATGGGTTTCTCGGATGAACTTCCATGCTGGGCGTCTGGCGAAGGTTGCCCTGCTCCTTGTGCTCCTCCTCCTTCTGCCTCTCATGTCGGGTCACCCTCCACTCCCCCATTCTGCTCCTCCTCCCAGGTTTTTGATCGAAGAACCCTAGGCTAAATTGCAGCCGCGCCTGGGGTGGGTGGGTCAGAAGGTGCTCGTGAAAATGTCGTGCAATGACTCTCGGGAGCGCTTTGGGGGCAATGTTGAGACGTTTGGGGTGCCGTTTTGAAGCCTCCTCAGGGCGCTTTGGAAGCAATGGTGAAGCCTTTGGGACGCCGTTTTGAAGCCCTTCTGGGTCGTCTTGGGGGCCTTTTGGAGCCCCCTGGGGGCCTTCTGGGGCTTCCTGGGGGCCTCTTAGGGCGGAAAACTCGACTTGTCGGTTCGCGGGCCCCCGCTTGGGCCTCTCTTGGGGTCATCTTGGGGTCCTCTTGAGCTACCTTGAGGCCCTCTTGGGCCGTCTTGGGGCCCTTTGGGGCCGTCTTGGGACTCTCTGTTTCGTGGGCCGTCTTAGGGGGGTCTTGTTGACCTTTTGGTCCGTTCCAGTTCGTCGGAAGCCCGAAAAAGCGAGAAAGCAGAACAGCCATACATATATATATATATATATATATATATATATATATATATATATCCGCCGGCCCCCTTGTGGGGCCACCAGGCTGCGAGGCACGGGTTCGCAGTTTCCAGTACCAGTTGTAGCTTGTAGTTTCCAGTGTTACAGTTCTGCTTCTTGCTGGTTACTGTAACTAATTGATTGACCGCGCGAAGGGGGGGGAGGCCCAAACGGGATTTTAGCATCTCCTGGGCGCGTTGTCTGAATTGCTGGGGGGGCTCGAAATCGACACCCCTCACGCACATCCGCGGGGTCAGGGTCCAAAAACACATGGGATTTGCCAAATTTCTGAAATTCGGTGCCACCCCTCACGCAGATCCGCGGGGTCAGGGTCCAAAAACACATGGGATTTGCCACAAATTTCTGAAATTCGGTGCCAAATTCGGTGCCACCCCTCACGCAGATCCGCGGGGTCAGGGTCCAAAAACACATGGGATTTGCCACATTTCTGAAATTCGGTGCCACCCCTCACGCAGATCCGCGGGGTCAGGGTCCAAAAACACATGGGATTTGCCACATTTCTGAAATTCGGTGCCACCCCTCACGCAGATCCGCGGGTCAGGGTCCAAAAACACAAGGGATTTGCAACATTTCTGAAATTCGGTGCCACCCCTCACGCAGATCCGCGGGGTCAGGGTCCAAAAACACATGGGATTTGCTACATTTCTGAAATTCGGTGCCACCCCTCACGCACATCGGCGGGGTCAGGGTCCAAAAACACAGGGGATTTGCCACATTTCTGAAATTCGGTGCCACCCCTCACGCACATCCATCGCAAGGCGTGGTAACCCAAACTGCGAGTACTCCCTTTGCCCTTTAATCCCAAGGTGTGGTGACCAAGCTCGTAAACCATACACGTCTTACCAATCGCCCTGTGTGGTAACCCCCCTTGTGATCAGTTGGTTTTGCCGATTGTGAATCGGCCTCGCATGAAGTTCCGATACTGCTGCACGACAGCGCCAAAGCCTCATGACTTAGCTCTTCCATGGCCCATTCTCCGAGAGAGGGGGCCGGCGGCAGGGGGCGAAGCCCTTACGGATATATACACACAAGTGGCACGTGTGTGCTCAGGCTCATACAAAAAACTGAAAGGGCGTTTGAAGCAGGAGAAGAGGAGGAGGATAGCTGCTGGGAGTGGAATGCAATAGCCAGGTCGCACTCGAGCGCAAGTGGGGTTGCCACACCTCGCGATGTGTGTACCAGGGCCCCCCAGGAAGCCTCAGGAGGCCCGACTTGGATACCAGAAGAGTCTCCAGGAGGCCTGAGGATTGTGAGTGTTGTGTGGGTGTGGGTGATGCGTGCTCTGTGTTGTGCGTGTTCTGTGCGTTGTAGGTGTTGTGCGTGTGTGTGTGTGTGTGTGTGTGTGTGTGTGTGTGTTATGTTTGTCTAGAGTGTGATGTGCTGGGTGTGATTGGTGTCTCTGTGTGTACATGTAGTTCTGAGGCCCCAGGAGGCCCCAGGCGGCCTCAGGAGGCCCCAGGAGACCCCAGGAGGCTCCAGGAGGCCCCAAGAGGCTCCAGGAGGCCGCAGGAGGCCCCAGGAGGCCCCAGGAGGTTCCAGGAGACCCCCGGGAGGCTCCGAGGCGGGGTCTGGGGTACCAGAAGGTACCAGAAAGCCCCAGGAGGCCCCAGGAGGTTCCAGGAGGCCCCCAGGAGGCTCCGAGGCGGGGTCGGGGGTACCAGGAAGTAAGTCGGGGCTCGATGTTGGGAGGATGTCTCAGGCGAAACCGCCATTCTCTGAGAACCGGGGTCCAAATCATTGAAATTACAATGTGTTTTGAAGGTTTTATGTTAAACTGTTGAAATTATGTGTGCGTTGGACCCGGAGGGGTGCCACTGGTTTTCAGAATGTCGAAGATGTCCCTAGCGAAACGGCCAGAAAAAATTGCGAACGACGCGGCGCGTAAGCATTAATCGCCTCTGAGCTCTACTTCCTCGGAGAAGTGCGTATGAGAATGTATGTGTGTATATATATATAAATATATATACATACATATATATATATATGTATACAAATATACCTATGTATGTGAGCACACAAATACGTATATACATTCATTCATTCATTCATTCATACATACATACATACATACATGCATACATGCATGCATACATACATACAGACATGCAAAAATGCATGCATACA